ATTTCAAATATCTAGCTTAGAATATTTCACTGACTTTAATCATTTTTATATTAAAATAGATTTAGGTATAACTATTAATTAAGAAATTAATAAATCAATACCATTTTAAACGATTATAATTTTTTATATTACATATTTTTTAAATAAGTTTTTAAAGATCTTCTTATAAATAGAAATAAATTTATAACTTTAATAGCAAAAATATATGTATTTTATAAGAGGAAAAAAATTCATTAATTTTTAAAGTATATTATTCAATTAGATTTTATGTAAAATACAAAAAATTGATTTTTATATTATAAAAATTTTATAGTAAAAAGCTCTTAATAAATGCTTTAAACTTAAATACAACTTATCAAAAATAACAACTTTAATTAAGATTAATAATTTATTTTTTTCTTTAAATGATAACATTTAAACTAAATAGATAATATTAATAAAAAGCATTAAAAATATTTAGAAATTTATTAGATAATAAGAAAATAATAAGAAATAGTAGTAGTAAATATATTTTCACAATTTAAAATTAATATATTATAAAAAAGAATAAAATAAAATTTTTCTTATTTTAAATTATAAACTATATAGAAAAGAAGAAAATAATCATTAGAAAAGAGAATTCTTATATAATATTATAGATAATAATAAAAAGTTAAATATATTTTAAGACTTTTCTTAAATAAATTTAATATTATTAACAGAAAATTTATATATATATTAAAATATTATATTTATTAATAAAATAAATTTAATATTCTATTATATTAAATTAATATACTATTATAATAAAATATAAAATATCTGTAATAAAAATATTAATTTAGTATTAATTTTTAATTAATAAAAAAAAATCTATAAAAATAAAAAATAAAATAAAAAACTTTTTAATTAGAACAACAAATTTTTAGAATCAAAGATACATTTATATGAAGAAAGAAAGGGTTTATTAAATTTTTTTTTAAAAAATAAAAAAAAAACTAATATTTATTTTTTGTAAGTTTCAAAATTCTTTAAACCTTAAAATCAAAAAAAAGTTTTTATATAATTAGAAAGATATTAAAATTTTTTAAACTTAAAAAGCAAATTAATTAATAATTATTTTTTTGTAAATTTTGAAATCTTTAAATTATAAAATCCTTGGATTAAAAGTAAATTTTATTATAAAAATTTTCAATTAAAATTTTTTTAATTTTAAAAAATATTAACATTAGCTTATTTTGTAGATTGATCTAGAACTTTTAAATAAAATTCTTAGATTTAAAATTAAATCATATTGTAAAAGAACAAATGATACTTATTATAAAAAGTAATAAATTGATATTTACTTGAATATGAGATAAAAAAATCGCCTGCAATAATGGGTTTTGCAGCTAAGGGATGAAATGATGGTTTTCGTATCGCACATATTGTACAATTATTAACAAATTTTTCTACAATATTTTGCTTTATCCAACCCCACTTTTCTATAATTGATTTCAAGTTTGTTTTTGTCCTCCATGTTGTGTAACTTCAGCATGAGTTCGGCATAAAACTTTGTACATATTTTCAACTACTAATACTAGATTATTATTTGCTTTTACAATAACTCTATAGTCATCTTGCAAATAGTATGATCTTTTGGGTTTAATAACACATTCTTAATTTTATCCAAAAGTTCAAGATTAATTAAAGCCTTTACTTGTTTAGAAACTGGAAGGCTTATTATATAACGCTCAATTATTCCATTAAAAGTATCTTTGCTAATAAAAGTATATTCCATTATGAGATGTATAACACAATATTCTAAAAAACATGTGCTTTAAAAAACTGTAACGCGATATTCAATTTTAAGCATTATTTGACTAGATTGCCTCAGATTACAGCTTGCGGTATCTCAGATGATCATTGATTCAAATCACGCACCTCACCTGATGATTGTAATCTGAGGTGCGTCAGTTATAATCTGAGGCAAGAATCGATCTGAGGCACAACATATATAAGCAATTTATTTTATTTAATAAAATTTTTATAATTTTTAAATGTTTCTTTATTTATTTTTCTTTATTGCTCTATTATAATAAAAAAAAAAAATTAACTCTATAATTAAAATTTGAAAATATTTATAAAAAGTTTAAGTAATTTTGTTTAAAAATTTGTCTTCAGCTTCAAAATTGAATAATTATACAGGTAACTCGTAAAGGTAGGAGTTCCTTTTCTATTTGCTTTCTGCTGATTTAAAAGAAAGTGAATGTATTTTAACATGTTCTTCTAATTGAATGATTATTTTTTGCTTTTTCAGGTTTGGTCACTTCGGTCTAAAGTTTTAAAAAAAAAACCTGAAAAAATAGATGAAAACGAAAATGAATAAATCACTAAAAAAATAAAAAATAAAAAAAATAACTTAAACAAAAGAATACTTATTTGCCAAAAAACTGAATAAAATTAAAATCGAAATTAAAAAATTAAAAAATAATAATAAAAATAAAATAAAAAATCGAAAAAAGAAAAATAAAAAAAAAAAAAAAAAAACTATTGGAAATTAATGCTACAAAATATAATAAATAAATGCCGCGAAATTTAATTATAATTCAGCTAAAAGTTAAAGTCCGAAAATAAAAAATTTTAAGGTTAGCAGTATTTACGAAATTGTAAAAAAAAAAAATTGGCATATTGTGATTGGTTAAAATAGTTTTATAAGTTGTCTGAAGTTGGAATTCAGATAACAAAAAAGGGTATCTGAAATTGGAATTCCAATTCCAGTTATCTGAACTTGGAATCTCAATTTCAGACATCCGAATATCGTCTGAATTCCAACTTCCGACGAAAATCAAGTTCAGTCACAACAATACTTTCATATGTATAAACTCATTATGGGCTTTATTTTATTTCCATATTTAGAAATGTTGACAAACCAAAACGATAAGTTGCACGGGAGCTTTTATTTTAACGCTTTTCCGTTTTTAGAAATGATGGAAATGTCAATATCTTTACAATACAACATTAATGATGCGAAAATGATTCCTGAAAAGAAAACAAAATAATAATTTTAAATAAGGTACCTGTCAAAGTATAATTGGGAAGATCATGATTTCTATCGATATAATAGAAGTAAGTAATCGATTGAAATTTTCAATATGAATAGTATGAAGTTAAATTTAGTAAATGCAAAAATTGTAACCAAAAAGATTCTAGATAATTTCTATAATAAGATAAAAACGACATGCCGGGAGATGATCTTTTTTTTTGATCACGCTCGGTTTTCCATACATTAAACAATTGTGCATATAAATGGGATTTACAAAATAAATTAAAATTCCTTTATATAGGAAACATGGAGTTTCACATTAATTTAATTTATATGCATTGACGTTCTTTTAAACCAAATTAAGATTCGATTTGTTATCAGTTGAAGGTGAACGGAATAAAGATATAATGTATATCTCATACAAAAAAAGTGTATAAATAACATGTATGTGCTAATTCTGAGAATTTTTTCCTTTACACCAACATTTCTTGTTCTAAAGGGTGTTTTATGTGTCGATTTTCAGGTGGATTTTTTCACAAAGAGAATCGAAATTTTAATCTTGGTTTTAAATCCCCTTGCACTTTATTTCTTGTGTTGGTGGCTCAAAAGAATTCAAAGTTTACGGAATAAATTTATAAGTATCTTAAAAATATCGTTAACGTTTTAGTCGAGAAATAATAAATTGTAAAGGAAAAATAAAACATTTACCTTTTTTTTCAAAGAAAAAAAAAGGGGTTCTCAACGATATCTTATTTAGAACTTGTTTTTTTAAAAAAAAAATTATAAGAAAATCTTTATTTTTTAAAAAAAACAAAAAAATTAATAATGGAATCTATGAAATTTACTAAATATCTACTAGTTATACAAATCTTTGTTATATTAGGGATTGGAATATGTGGTAAGTCATAATTTTTTTAAAAAAAAAGTTATTGATTCATTTAATTGTAATAATTATTCTAATTTCTTTGTTACTCGCTTTCTCCTCGCCGAACGAGCATAGAGGTCGTACAATTGGCGGTAATTGATAATTCCCAAAAACCAATTATTGAACACCAAATGGATTGGAATTATTTGATTGGTTATACACACAGTCCATTGTAATTAATTATGTTATGTTTCGTGTTAATCCTTTTAAAATGAAAAATTAAATATTAAATATTTTGATTGTGTTTATTTTCAGAATAATTATATTGAGGATATATTATTGGATCCTTATATTAGTTTCAATTGTACTTTTAGGTAAAAAACGATTGTTTATTTATTGAAATTTTAGATTTTTATCACTAATTAAAATTACGTATGCTTTAGGTTTGTCGTTGAATTCATTCGAGAAAAAATGGAAAAATTTACAAAATTATGATGGTAAACCAAGACAAATGTGAGTAAAAGGAATAGAATGCATGAATTTTTAAAATGTGTAACGCTAATTTTTTCCTTTTTTTTTGATTTCGTCGTCGTGTAGCTTACTATTTATATTATGGAATCTCGCAAGTAAGTGCAAGATAAATTTTGGTTGCAAAACCATTGTTATTCGTTCAATCACTAATTCAATTTTTTATTTTTTTTTTTTCCCCACTTTTCGTCTAGCTATACCTAGTGTAATTTTTTTATTCTCGACAAGCGGAGCAAGGATATGTACATCATCAGCATATTCATACCCTATAACAACAAAATTATTGGATCATTGTAACGCTTATATTATGTCTCTTTTGCTTGCTTACGTATTCATTATCACTTCAATAATTCAAGTATTAACTCAATTTATTATACTTAACAATCAAAAGAAAGATATCTCAACACCAAAGTTACAAGAGCCAAAGAAATTGAAAGTCAAAAGAAAAAAACATGTTAGTAAAAGAAGAGCAAGAAGTAGCGTTGCTATCACTGAAGCTAGTATAAAATTAAGCACCGTTAATGAAGATGATGAAGAAATGAAAAGTATCAAAAGTACTAAAAGCGGAAATAGTGGAAAGAGCAGCAATAAAAGTAATAAAAGTAATAAAGATCATAATCAAATTGGAAATGTCAAAAATGATGGCGATAATAATGATAATGTCGAATTTAATGATGAGAAAGAGGTTTATTCGAATGCTTAATTAAGTTTGTACAGGGGAATTTTATTTATTTTGGGTCATTCTTATTTTTTTTTTTTCCTTAAATTTCCCTCACGGGAATGTGAATCATAGATTTAATATCATACATTTATATAATTATTTATATAATTTACTTTATATAGATAATTAATGTAATTAATGTAATTATACAATTTTTTTTTTACTTACTTTTTACTTTGAAACATATAATAATACGTTTTCAAACTAAATATGATCACATTCACGTGACTTCAGACTTAAAATTAAGTATTAGTATCACGTTATACAAATGATTGGCTTGGCTACAATCAAATTACACAAAAATTAATTATTAATTTTGAAAGATTTCTATTTTAAAAAATACAAATAATAAACATTTTTTTTTGAATTATTAAATTATTTTTTTTTTTTTAAATATAATATTATTGATTATTAAAATATTTAAAGTAATTATTACTATAAAATTATAAAATATTAATATATGTACAGTATATATAATAATTAATACTTTTATAAAAATATTATTTATTATTTTATATTTATTAATAACTTCATGTATTTTTTTTAAATAAGTAATATACAATTTATTATTTAAATATCAAAATACAAATGGGTGCGACACAAATTTTGTTCACATGACCATAATCAGCAGAGTGAACCAATAAAAAAATTTTTGACTAAAAAGTGGATGTATTCCTTTGTTTCAAACATAACACCTTTATTCTTAACAAAGTTAATAGTTGTTTTCATTTCAAGATTGTTTTATTGTTTTAAACATAGTTGTTAGATGAAACTCTGTGAACCAATCAAAAAAATGTTACGGTGACGAATAGATTTTTCTTAGTAAAAAAATGAAACGTGGCACCGGTGACAAAATATATCACGTGAATTCGGTGACGTAAATTCTACTGCGCCTATTCGATGATCATTGCCGCTTTTCATCAAATCAGGGGCTTGTATTTAAAAAAGCTGTTTATTCTTTTTTTTTTATTTATTTTTTTACGCGAACTCTCCCAGAATAAAGACGTGTCGTTTAATGGCAGGTATGTTATTGTATTATATTATTACTTTAAATTACTCGTTCAATTTATTACCCTTTTTAAATCATGTTACATATTATTATAAGAAAAAGAAAGAGTTTTGATGAACATAAATATTAAGGTTCCTAAAATATTAGAACCATAATAACATTTGATAACAAACCATATTTCAATAACTGTGGGAAAAGGAATAGGTATTAATTAAATTAAACGTTACTTTTATTGCATCGTTACATCGTACTTATTGTGTTTATTATTTAAAAATGTTTTCAGGTGATGTCTAACGTGGACGGTATTCATATTTGATGGTATATAATTTCAAAATATTTAGGTATTTCTCTTTTAACCTTCAAATAAATCAAAACTAAATAATTATATTAATAACTAAACTAATTTAATCTTTAATATAATTTGTTTGCTTTGGAGATTTATTCCATCAAAGCAAGTTATGCTCTTTTAAATTTCTTAAATAATGATTTAATGAGGACTTCAAGATAAGGTTCGGCATATATTCTAACAACATGGGATGGTGAAATTCGATCGAAAATGTCAATCCCTTATTTTCGATTTGAACCTATCGTTATCGAAATCGAGTGGCAAGAAACAATTATGTAAGTACATTGAATTGATGGTTTATTAAAAAGAAAGGTGATGTTCAACGGTATTTATTTATCCTTTTGAACAGGTTCGTCTATTTAAATTTTTTACAAATAGAAAATTGGGTTGTTTTCTCGTGATTCTCACTTGATAGATCTTTGGTATGTATTTTTTTTTTTTTTTTTTTTTTTAAAAGCGAAATTTATTTTTCGAAAGTAATTATTAATAAGGTACTTATTCTGTTATTTAAGGAATGTCTCAAATAATTACCAAAGTTTCAGTCACTCATAATTTTATCTCGTCAAGCGATTCTCTTCTTTCAGTTCCCACCTTCTTCCTCCCCCCCCCCCCACTCCTTCACTAATATTACATATCTACCCTCCTTCGACAGCTGTACCTTCTATCCCTCCTTCGACAGCTGTACCTTCTATCCCCATTCGACAGCTGTACCTTCTATCCCCCTTCTACAGCTGTACCTTCAATTACCTCCCTTTCTACAGCTGTACCTTCTTTTATTCCCCCTTCTTCTACAGCTACTACTTCGACAGCTGTACCTTCTTTTATTCCCCCTTCTTCTACAGCTACTACTTCGACAGCTGTACCTTCTTTTATTCCCCCTTCTTCTACAGCTGCTATTATTTCGACAGCTGTGCCTTCTTTTATTCTCTTTTCTAAAATTTTATCATAGCTTTCCTACTTCCCATGTTTCTTCTATTTATTTGTGCTTTATCCTTTTCAATTCTTGTATTATCTCTTTCCTAATTTCGTTCTCTTCCTCTATACCCTCTATTCTTCCTGCTCTTCTAATCCTGTACCACACTCCGTCCTTTTATTAAAACTAATGGTCCTCAATTTTTCACGCATTTTATTGAAACCTCCTTTATCCCTTCCTAGTCGATGGCCAGAGCCAATTGATCTTGGTCCTCCTGTCATATACGTTGCCATCGACTATGGTTTATACCCATTTCCCCTCCGTTTTTAACTGGCCATCGGAATCTTGAATTCCAAACGTCTTGTTTTTGTTTTTTAAACAAAAAGAAAAAAAGTGCCGTTGAATTTATTAATGTAATTCCTCAAAGTATAAAGATATCATCAATAATGTAATCGCTATTTTGTATTTTTTAAATAAATTGAGTAACTTGTTTCAAAGTTTTAACCAATAATAAATAAATAATATATTAATATTTCAAGGTACGCATAATGTTTTCAAATGATGTGAAGTATTATATTTAAATAAATCATAAAACGTACTAATGTTTAAAACTTAAATCTCGTAAACTTTTACGAACAGCGACATTAAAAACCATAAAATTCTAAAGGAAATAATGTTACTCTCGATGAAGAATGTGAGAAGCAACAAAGTTGTCATGTATAACAGCAATTAGGATATTCAACTGAAACACGGGGAATATTCTGTGTTAAAACTTCTCATTCATTCTTCAGAGAAATTGGACATCCCACAAAATTGATAACGACTTTTGAGGTTATATGGCGTTCATGTACACCTTTCAAACTGTTAACTCGAAAATTGATGCCAGTCAAACAAGCAATGGTTAAAGTGTTGGGATTTGATGTAGACCGAAAAATTTTCCCATTTTTTTTTTTTTTTTTTTTTTTTTTAATGTCCACAGAATATTTTCGTAATGATTAGATTCTACAGATATTACAAAGCTTAAAAGTACCTTTAAATATAGAATAAGTTTTACACTAAAATACTAAAATACGAATATTTGAAATTTGGAAATTTCTAACCTAAAAGAATATAATAAAAAAAATTAACGAGATAAGATATGGCGAATTATGCGTATATATATATATATATATATTTACTATATTCAAACATTGAAACAATCGGCAAATTATAAATTCCAATTTCCTTCGTCCTAATAGAAAGATTGATTAGATGTAAATGTCAATGTTTATAAAATTATTAGAAATTTTGCGAAAGATGATGGAATTGCAAAAGACGTTGAAATTAAAAATCAAAAGAAAATGAAAAGAGTATTATTAATTAATTAAT